TGGCACCGTTGCCAAAAGAGCTGTGTCTGTGTCTGTGTCTGTGTGTGTGTGTGTTTTCCCCCTGTCTCCCTTCATTTGATACGGCTGGGGGTTGTTTAACGTGTTCTGCCACCGCAGGGGTGACCGCTTGTCTCCCGTATGCTTCGGGAAAAAAAGGGTTCATGGTCTCGGCTTCCAAAACCGGGCTTCAGTCTGGAAAAGGTTCTGGTATGAAGCCTGGAGGACTGATGAAAGCAGGCGCCCAACAAATTCCAACTTGGGGCCGGTCCTTGGTACAAAAGGGTCTTGAAGGTTTCGCGTTCAGGACTGTACGCCATGTAGTTGTCAGACAGGACCGACATGATGAATTCTTGAGGCTCGGCCACTCCAAGCTGCAATCCGTACAAGTTCTTGCCCTCCCTGCTCTTGGAAAAGAGGGAATATCATGAAAAGGGCACCAGCAACTGAACACCCTGCGACAGCCTTTTGGGGCCCCAACACAGCCACAAGCAAATCCTCCCCAGTTGTGTAATAGAGCTCTGACTGAGGAGGACAGGCAGCTTGCAGGCTGGCTGCCGCTGAGCCTGCCTTTAAACATGTTTACGCTCGAGTACCTTGCGTTACTATACTTGGGATTTTGGCTACTAGCAATGTAGCACACGTCTGACTGTGACGTCTGTTGCATTGCTCGCGCTGGGATAGTGATGGCATTGTTGTGCATACCGTGCCCGGACGCATTCTACAGTCACGTCTGTGGGCAGGCTGGAACAGGCACGCCGCAACCGCCTGGCCAGCTGGCGGGCGCGAGGCAGGAGCTGTGGATCTGAGCCCTAGATTCTAGATCTTTGCAGTCCACTGTGGACTGTGGGGTCCTTCCTACTTTCTCGATATGGGACAAACACTTCCGTTTTCAACTTCGGTGGGGCGGCACAAGGGAGGGGGGCATGCAAGTCATGCTGTACTCGATAGCGAGGCAAGCCGTTGTTGAATAAAAGCTCGCAGCCCTTCATCACCTGGAGCGCATTGCAGTCGCTCTGCACGCATCGTGAATGATATGATAGTTCTCCGTTGCCAGGGGTGTTCTAAGGTGAGCCAAGGGTGTCGCAAGGGAGGTGAACACTTCAACGAGCCGGTTGCTATGTGTTCTTGCCATGCCAAGCTGTCCATCGTAGCATCCTGATGCATTCTCTCCCCCCGAAACCGTTAAGCGAGAAGGAACCCAGAGACTCCAATATCCCTTAATTAGGGAATATTCCTTAAATCATATTAAGGATCCTACTATAATTTAAGGAATCTTCCTTAATTAAGGGATGTTGGAGTCTCTGGGAACCTACAGTCGACGCGACGCGGAGAGTGAACGGCAGAACAGGCCGATCCTGCTGCCTGCTGCGCGGACGCCACCTCAAGCGAACACATCGCCGGGGGCCTGGGCAAGAGCCGTCCAAGTCCTCGTTGCCTTAGGCTGTGAGGCCTGTGGTGGCGTAGTGGCATGCTTACATCGGGATTACGGATTAAGGGGCTCTGACAGCACCAAGGTTTGAGCATTCGGAGTGCGATATGTTCATTAGGGCTTGGGCTTTAATGAACCGCAGCATCTGCATGTGTGTACCGTATTTGTGTGCACAATGTTTGTACATACATACATGGATGTATTCATGATGTAATTACTCAATGTGGCGTAGTGCAACACAGAGTAGTGCAAAGTAATATAATTTGCTTGTATGTGTTTTGTCATGCATGCATGCATGCATATAGTATCCATGAATGCATACACGCACGCATGCATCCATGCAAATGCATACGAAGACAAACACAGACAGACAGAGAGACAGACAGACTCAGGTGGGCCTGAGGCCTTGGCCTGGGGAGCCTGCCCGGGAGAGAGAGGTAGGGAGAGAAAAAGAGAAAGAAGGACACAGGCAGGTAGGCAGGCAGGCAGACAGAGACAGAGACAAGCGCAGATGCACTGTACATACACACACACACACCCACACGCCCACACGCACACGCAGAGACAGACTGAGACACAGATGCACTTGCGCAGTGGCGGCAATCCCTTGGACCCACCGAAAGAAAGAGACGAAGAGGTCGGGAAAATGGCGTGCCATGGGAAGGGGACAACCCACCGTAGGCCTGCAAAGACAGAGAGGATCAAATGTGTAGAACAAGGGGATGATAAAGGCAGCCGGTGCCATACTTGAAGAAGGAGAAGGGGGGCGGACTTTTTCCGACCCGTTATCCACCTGGAACACAGAAGACCGAGGCCCTGCCTTTTCCTCCCGAAGCAGGGATCTGCCGTTAATCCACCCAATAATCGGGCCCCGGAAGTTTCAGCTTGAAGGTTCACGTCGCCGGCTGTTGCCTTAACTCCGGCCCCCGCCATGCCAGCGTTCAATGCCTTGGTCTCGGCTTTGTGTGCCGGGGTTCGGTTCTGTGACCTTGGGAGCAACGGTCAAGTCTGGTTTGGAGGGCTTTCGGGGTGGGAAAAGCTCATGACGTGTGGTTGCGAGGGCCCAACTGGCAAGCTCTTTTTGAACGGCACGATATACATGTAGAGCTTCAGGTGTGAGGATTGGTGTTCGGGGTTTGGAGGCTTAAACAAGACTTTCTGGGCTGCCGCGCTCTTGAAGTCTGCCCCTCTCGTTGGAAGGCCACGCAGGCCGGCCCGGTGCGGTGTACCATCGGAGCAGTGGGCCCGAGACCTGGAAGACTCCTCTGGGAAAGTTGGAAATGTCCACTCGTCATGGGCTCATGACTAGCAATGAAACCCAGACCTTGGTCTGCACAGCAGCTTGCAAGCTCCTAGGAGCTGATGCCGCCTGAGCCATCTACGGAGATTGTCACCATCATCCTCATCAACATAGTCCCACTTTCGTAGCCATCGCCACAACCAGCAGCAGCAGCAGCGGCAGCGGAGGAGCATCATCATCATCGTCATCACCGCGAGTGTACAAACAAACATACTGCCACCGCGACTGCACAGCATCGTTTTCGTTGTGGCTGTTGCCGCCGTCCTGTTGAAAGTTGCCGTACACCGGAGCAGCAGCCTTTGTGGTAGCGGCGGAGGCGGGGACACAAGCGGGGGCGGGGGCAGCTGTGGGGGTGGTGGTGGTGGTAGCAACGGTCGCAGTAGACGAGGCGGCAGCAGTAGTCGTAGTAGTAGTAGTAGTAGTAGTAGCAGTAGTAGTAGTAGTAGTAGTAGTAGTAGTACAGTAGTAGTAGCAGCAGTAGTAGGAGGCGGAGAAGGCGGAGGAGAAGTCACACGTGGAAACATATTGCCAACCCATGTAACCCACTACAGCGAAAACATCTTGCATGCTTGTCTATGCAGCGTGACACTGGGGTTTCTTGTGTTCGTAAGCCATTCCGAACCAGCCCCGTTGAAGTTGCACAGATCTTTTTTACAAGTCAGCAACTAGTGGTAAGGAGCATCCTGAATCCTAACATGTCAGCTGCAACCCTGGCTTGTGAGCCAGCGAGGGCAGGCTGCCTTGTGTTGACAATTACTAGTGACCGCTTATGACCGCTTTATCTCGCATCGCTGGGTTGAAATACTGAAAACGCATCGATGAGCGTCTGCACTCCGGAACCGCACTTCAAACAGTCACTTCTGTTTGTGAACGGTCCGATTGTTCCATCTGGAATCGAGCGTCTGCGTTGGGAATGGCTGGTTTTGATGTGTTGTGACGCCACTGATGTGCGTCTCGAGCGGATGCTTTGGAATCCAGTGTCTGTACATGGGGGAATGGTCAAGCATACTCCACCTCGCAAGCCTGTCGGGCGCACGGAGTCGTTTTCTGGGTGCGGCGCTGGTCCTTTTGAGTATAAGCTCTTGTTTTCAGAAACCGTCTCGGTCACCAAGCAGGAGCCGCACGCGTGTGCACACTCTCACACTCGCACACCGATGCGCGCGCGATCACGTGCTGATATGCTCTGGTCGGCCCTGCCCAACGGTCGGTACCAGTACGGGTGTGGCCCAAGATCACAATGCTAGGTACGTGGAGCTCCCCCCACATAAACTCTTGAGGCGAGTTCAGGGGATGTCTGTTTTTCCATTGCTCACACGATTGCTGTGGTGTGTATCATTGTACGAGTTGGAGGCAACACCTGAACACACAAAGTTCGCCTGGAAGTGCGAACGCGAACCGGGAGACCTCGTCTGGTTGAGTCCGAGTTGCGAGAGCACAGGCTTAAAGCCGCGAGCTTTAAGCAGTAATCCTTCGCTCAGGTGAACGAGTACACAACGCGGGGGCCTGACTTTCAAGTGCAAAGAGCTGAGCCGGAGCAAAATGGGCGGCCACAGGCTGCGGGGATGTCGGAAGACGTGAGAAGGTAGCCAAGACCAGCCGACGGAAGGTTGCGTGAGAGTTTTCCGAACGATCGAGCGATCCTCCTACAGTGCATCCCAGACTGCGGTAGGAGGCATCCATTCACCTTCAACAATCGTCCACGCGACCACTGAACTACCCGGAGAAACGAAAATCCTCTGAGAAGGCCTGGTAAAGAGCAGGAAGCATGATGCAGAGAAGCTTTCGTCTACATCTGCTTTACTGCACGTACGCTGATATTCTTTGAGCCCTGAGAGAATCATCGCCGGACCTCGCAGAAGCGCATCCGAAGCCATTTTGACCCAGGCGCCGCCGCCAGAAGCTGGGAATCGAGGTGAAGGCGGGGCAAACCCGGGAGAGTCCGAAAGTCCCTTGCCTTTCTTTCGGAATGTGGAAGAGATTCGGTCTCCTTGGAGCCTGAAGACGTAAAGCCAAGGCTGCCCAATGTGAAGCCCAATCTCGGGATTCAGGGGCCTAGAATGCAATCACAGTCATGAGTACTGTCTTGTGGGTCAAGCTGGGCAGTAAGGCCATCAGTCGAGTCCCTTGTGAAAAAAGGGGGCCTACAACGACACAGCTATGGTGAAGCCCTGAGAAACCAGCCCAAGCATCCGAGGGCTTCGGCTCTCACCGCGGGTCTCGGCGCCAGTGCAGGCTCCGGGTTTGGGTCAAAGAGGTTCGGATTCGCGTAGTTGTCGACGATGGCTTAAGGTTTGGGTTGAAATAAATAGTATGGAGAAGTCTAGAGGGGCTTGAAGAGCAAAAAGCGAAGTCATGTCTCAACCGAAGGCTCGAGCCTTTGGCCTTGATATTCGGGGTTGCCAAAGTATGACGAGCTTTTGATGCAGACCAGACGAGCCAACCGTCAACATTCAAGACGGGAATAATCCCATCTGCTGGAAGCTATCCAACCCTCCAGACCCCGCCTCGAATCATATTCAAGACTCACATTTAAGGCTAGAACAAAACACTTGAGCTTTGCTCCAAAACCGCTTCCAGACGTCATCCCTCGCCGCAGCTGACTCGAAGTCGGAGTGATTGTGGCACGATGACGACATTCCTTCGTCGCCTCTTCGACCAAAGTTAAGGTTGATGAGAAGGAGATCAACTTGCAACCCATCAGCGTGTTGGCTCTTTGCCGCGGCAAACACTGGAAGACACCTGACAGCGGAAGGTTCCACATGTGCCCAAGAATTATGGCCTTAGCCAGCCAGCGCCCTGTCTTGACGACTTTCTTAGCCACGATTGGTCCTCGAGTCGCTCCCTGAACTTCCTGTCCCTCCCCCTCTTTTTTTAACAGCTCTCATGCGGCCTTTTGGTCCACGCTGGGTGCCAGTGTTCTCGTTGGCCATCTCGTCGATGCTCTGGCAGCAGCTCCAATCGCCATTCCGCCGGCCCCGTATGGCATATGGTTTTCTTGGACAAGCTGTGCATCGCGCAGCATGACGCGGAGCTCAAAGAATAAGGGAATCCTACAGTAGGCCTTGCGGGCTTCGTGCTGCGCTCGCGGAGGCTCTTGGTGCTCTGGACGCCGCGCTACTTCAGTCGCCTATGGTGTCTTGATCATTGCTGGGGCTACTGGTAGAGAACCGTTTTGCTTTCTGTGGTTTGGGTTTCCGAAACAGGCCCAAGGATCCTTCATCCCTAGGCGGGGTCTAGATGTCCGTTGGAGCCGGCTGGTTTTCAGCTCCTTGCGGAAATTGTACAGCCGAGGAGGCAACGATGGGGGTTCATCGTGTGTTGAAGATTCCTGGTTTTGCAGTCCAAAAGTGGACGCACCCCGCCTGTCTCCGGCTCCTCAAACTAAAGAGGACCACCCTTTTGCCGCGAAATACATACTTGGAATCTAGGGCGACTAACCATGCCTCGCAGACGCGGAATGTTTCACACACTGTGTTGTTAGGGGAATATCTCAACTTCTGCCATTTCCGCCCTATCCGAGAGTGCGAGAGAGTAAAATGGCTTCGGCAAGCCCGAAACCCGAAGGCCTTGAGGGCTTGAAGCTGCTCGAATCGAGCTGTCTCAGCCCACAGGGCGCCCAGCAGTCCTATGTTTACGTGGGCGTGCCTGGTGGCCCGGGCCCAAGAAGCTTCTAGCTCTGGTTGAAGCTTTGGGCCCGGAATCTGTTAGACTCAACCAAAACCTGGAAGTTTGGCCGGGCTGCGACAAGACCGCATGCTGGGCTTGGAGTTTCAACTTCTAGGCTGCTGTGGCTTCGTAGTGGCCTAACCTTTTGGAGGGGATCCTTGTAGTGCTACTACAGCACTGAGCCCTCGAATCCTAAACCCTGTGTATGCAATTTTGGTGGCATAACACCTTTAAATAAGGTGGGCTTCTTGCGCAGGCCATACCCTGTAGATCCCAAACGCTTAAGAAATAAGCGACAAAAGCGGCAAGAACAGTGTGAGTAGATGGCCATGGTACTCCAAGTGGCACTCTGCAGACTCTCGCAGTGGCTTCGCGGGAACGCATGTTTGAAACCGCTGCAGCACTTGATGCGGACGCGGTCGTCGTAGTTAGAGTCCCGCGCTTTTAGCTAAGCCCACCTTTTGGTCGAACGATGTGAAGTGTCGCTGTGAGAGTTGGATGGAAGCCATGTCTTCGTTTGGGTTTGATTCAACTTCGCCAGTGATACGGTAGGAGCTGGTATGCGTGTTCCGCGTAGAGGCTTGAAAGCCTCAGGCATGGTTGTGTCCAAACCTCCAAACCACCGAGGACTGCAGGCCACCTCGTCCACTGCCACACAGGCTCTTGTGAAAGGGCCTCATTGTGCCTGCTTTGCGGCAATGCTTCAACATTATTTCATTCACATCGACTATGTCACATCAGCATCCTGCTCAGCCCGTTGCGTCGGGAGCCGCAGCATTCAGCTGCACTGCCATACTTCGGACTCTGATCTGCTGGTGCAGGCGAGACAAAGCCTCGGGAGGCGGATGTGGAAAAGCGGAAATGGCAAGGCGGCCGTACCACTAGGTCACTAGGTAGGTCCACAATGTCCACAACCCTTGCAAGGCGAGGCTTTTCTTTGACTGGGCCCCCACCTTTCTTGTCGCAAGCTGAGGCTCAAGCCATGCCACCCCGAATTTCTGGACAATCATAGCATCCGCATCGCAAGCATGTTGCCTTGCCCATCCTTCAAAGCCTTCCAAAGCAAAGCAGATAAAACTTCACGCCATCACACACAGTGACAGCTTTGCTGCAACATGGCAGCGCTGCAAGTGCTTCCTGTTCGTCCCGCTCCAGCAGCGGCGCCGGGTGTGGCCAGCACCCAGCGAAGTGCCCGCCAAGGCCCGACATGGCAAAGGGTTCAGAGCTTTGCCTGCCTTGCGCAGGAAGTGGGATCAGCAACCACAGCAACACTAATAGTAGCAGTCGTATGGATTTCTGCTGCTGCTGCTGCTGCTGCAACGACGAGGGTGACTACTACTGTTGCTGTACGACGAAGACCTCGATGACGTCGACGACGATAGGCAGAACTAGCAGCCAGACAAACCCATAGGCATAAGCAGTGTTGACCACCCCATAGGGTGGTAACATAGAATCATGCAAGGGTTGGCCAAGCAGAGAAGCCGCCAAAAGCTAGGGCCAGGGATTCTCCACCTGCCTCTGGCGGAGGCCCGGCTGCAGATGCAACGAAACCCAGGGCGGCGCTGGCCCTCGTGGCTATAGGGGGCTGGGCTGCCGGGCCAGCAAGAGCTTTCGTTTGCATGGCAACCCCAACGAAGATGTTCATTCCCCCAGTCTAACAGCCCATGAATGAGATTCAGTAGCGTGTCTGCGAAGTCCATAGCATCGTCCCTCAGGTTCTTTCATTCGTTCAGTTTCCGCGGTTTGTGTGCATCTAGAGGAAGGTCATGACCGGAGCCTGAACTGCTGCAAGGGGCCATACAGTCATCTTCTTGCCAGAAGTTGTGCCGGGAATGCCGGGTGCTGTGTGCCGATTGGATTTGCTCAAGATCCGAATTCTCCTTCGCTGATTGACTTCTCGGCATCGGATTTCATGAGACACAGAAATGGGAATCCAGCTCAAGCAGGTGCACTCCAGGGTACCTGCATCAAAACGTGGTCAAATTTCGGGCTGTCTTACCCAATAGAGGTATAGTCTAGGTCTTCCCAAAGGAGGACGAGCTGCGACAGAACTCAAACAAAAAGGTCATGTTTACAACAAACCCCCCTGTGCACTGCAGCCCCTCCTCGAAACAAAGAACAAAACCCATCTACTCGCAAAGGTTGCAGTGCAACGCCGGCATGCTGCTGCAGCACGTGCCGTGCGCGGCGCAGAGGGAGAGGCGCGATCATCTGCAAAGATGGTGTGGGATTCAGGTTCGTGGGCAGAACCCAAGTACAGGCAGTAGTTCGTCTTTGCATGATCTCGCGATCAATTTTGGTGCCGCGCGCCTCACAGGTCTCAGGCACTTCTCAGAGTGCCACCGCCACTGCGAGACGGCGACTCCTGGGAGCTGCCGGTGCTGCGGCGGTTGCCCCGCAGGCAATCTCTTCGCAAGCAAAAGACTTGGCTCAAACGCATGTGGGTGGTTCTCAAAATGAGGGGCGCTTTTTAAAGTCCTTTGTATAAGGGCGCCATACTATAGTTGGGATCTAACAGGGACCTTAATTTAGAGAACTATCCATGCGTGCGGGTGACCGAAGAGCTTCGGCGTTCCTGCAAGGCTCCGGTCCTGGCCAGGACTTCGAAGACGCCGAGGCCGCCTCAGCCGACCAACGAGGCAGCTTTGAGTTCCATGTCCGAGTGGGCTGTCTGCATGGGGCTGCCGGGGACATATATGGGTACGTAGTAGAATTACATTAGGGCTATGTCCGATGTATGTTGGTGATTGTTGACGTTCGTTTCTGAAGATAGGGTGCTTCACAAAAGTTGTCGCGCCTGCAGGTGATTCGATCCTAGGACCTAGACTCACACATGACTTCTTGGATCTAACCTTGAAAGCTACGAAGCGACAGCGAAGGTTCTGCAACTTCACCGATGACACTGCTCAACCCTGTAAAAGTGAGTGGGCCTGTCAGGGTTTGAGCAGTCAGTCAAGGCATGATTCAGACGTGAGGTGGTGCAGACCGTGGATGGCATTCGGCAGAAGCGTCTGGGAAATTCCGACTTGGTCGTCTCGGAGGCTGAATACCGAGGGCGACCCTACTCTCGTTTCAACACGACCCTGTAGGGGAGCAGCCGGCTGGCATGACCTGGCAAGTGCTGCACCATAAAATGATTGTAGGTTCTAGATTCTAGATATGTTTCTCACTCTCGCTTTTGTTCTGAGCGCTGCAACAGAGTCCATGGCTTCTAGCTCTGAAGCAAAAGCCTGGGTGTGTCCGATCTGGGAGAAATTGTAGCTTGCAGTTGGCGCTGGGCACGCAGCGCTGGGTCTCAGCGGACTTCAATGCACCAGATGAGCCTCAACTGAATTGCCTTCGCAGGGTTCCTAAGAAGATGGTGTTCAGCCTTCTCCCCTTGCCGCCATTTTCTGAGCTCTTGGCTAACAAAGCGGATCAGATCCCTTTGATCTTAAGAGGAGGGGCACCGGGCAGGGCAAGAAAAGTCTGTCTACCAAGGAAGCGCAATGCCAGGCTTTCCTCGACCGGGCCGTGCTGGGCTCAGGGGTGAACCTCGTCGACACAGCAGAACAGCCACTTGGCTGCGTGAATGGCCCGAACAGCAGGATCCCTATTAAGTATGATAGTCATGTCATGTCATTGTCCTTATGATGAAGCGAAGGGGTTGATTCGGCCAGGGGCCATGTACAAGTGGATCTCCACAAAACATGGGTATCACAGCAAGATGTGTTTGATGATTGCTTTACAGATGCACACCGCCAGAGACGAAGGCTTCAGAAGCCAGGGGCTAGGCAGAAGAGCTGTTCAAGGGGTTGTGCAGGTTGATGTTCTGAAAGTTCCCACCCTCTTTCCATGCGACTGGATTGACCAGAAGATCCTAAGTCACAGCAACAGCCGATGCACCTAAAGCCACCAGCCCGGCCTTCTGTAACCATCTTGGCAGGTACCCGATTCCTTCAGACAATGCGCGCCCTGAGGGGCTTTGCGAAGAAGTGATCGGCGACCTGGCACAGACATCAGGGGTGTGGTGCTTAATCACTTCCTTGCAGTTGGGGCGTCAAGCCTGACCCACCTTCGCTGCTACTGTTGGCACCATCACCACACTGACTAGTCCTTTGGTCAAAGTTGCATGAATACCACTAGAATCATCGCCAGAGGGCTGGCGACAACAAGCGGTATACAGAGTTTAATTCAAGAAGCAGCCGTTAGTTTTGTGGTGTGACAGGGGGACTGGTGGCGTTGCCACGGAGAGTGTCAAACATAATGCAATATGTAGATCTTAAGCGGACCTGTTCACAGTGACAGTGAAAGAAAGGCAGTGGCCGCATCGTAACAGCACCATCATGGCTATCATCCTCATTTTCGTCAGCAACAGCATGAGAACAGGAAGATTCACGGGGCAGGGTGCTGCCAACGCAGTGGCCATGCCGTGACGAAAGTTGTCCAAACGAGGAGTTATATGGTCTTTCGGGAAGAGGACCGCAAACTCCACAGTAGGCAGCTCCGTCGCACGCCTTGTTATGATTCGACTTCAAGCTGAGGCAGATGGATGGCAAAAGAAGCCGGACGTCGGCGCAAACTCGCCAAGTGGCTGAAGGGCAGAGCCCATTGCATTTTCTCAACCAGTGTCCTTAGAGCATGATGGCTTCTTGCTGGTGCCTGCGGCACGGCATACTGTGGCAAAATACACGGCCCATTGGGTCATTTCGATTTTGGAAACACTTTCACCAGCGGGTTTCTGCAGGCAGCATAGAGACCTATACGGGTGTGTGCTTTCTTTGTTGGTCTTGGCATCCAGCTCATGGAAACTGCGCAGAATCCGGAAGCCCAGGTCATTGCGACCAAGATTACGGGAGGCTTCAATGTAACCCCGAAAAATATCCGTGCCTTGGCGAGACAAGAGTCTTCCAGCTAAGAGCGCTTTGCAGATCTTGTGGTTGGTGACTACGGGGAACTTGATGGTGCTTTCATGAAAGAATGGCAAGGTGCAGGTTTACATCAAACGCGTGCGTGGAACGACCTGTCCTTCGCGCTCGTAGAAGTTCCGTCTGTCGTTATTGAAGAACAGCCGCACCAGGTTCCTGTCTAAACCCTCATACTGGCCGGTATGGTACCCAAAAACTGTGGAACATAAGCTTTCCTGTCAGTTCCTGTCAGTTCAACATGGCTTGCTCTTTGGCTTGACGTCTTGGCTTCTTTGGTCGTGTTGGTGCAGCCTGCAGTACATCGTTGTCTCAAGCACTTTTCTCCGGCCATTCTCTGTTTTGGGTCTCGTTTGATTGGGAGTCATGACTGCGGCGACTTCGCTTTCAGCGGAAGTTGGTTTTGTACTTGTTGTTTTGCGTCGGGACATGAAGATGTCTTGGTGGATTCGCAGTCTGATCTGTCTAAAGCGACAATAGCTCCGACCACTCACAGTTTTGAACACTCTCACGCACGTCGAAGTTGAGATGTATGATGATGCATGCTGTGCCACCTGATACGTTCTCTGCCTCATGAAAAGAACAACCCTAAGGAGACGACTGCGAGGGAAGTCTCAAAAGATTGGGCACCGACTACATCGACGTGTACCAGACGCACTGGCCGTCGCGCTACTCTCCCCAAGCCAATTGGGGCCAGAGCCTCACGTACAACTACTCTGTGGAGGAGCAGCTTGCTGGCAGGAGTCGAGTTCAGCTGGGTTCTGTCAGAGGAATTTGCCGCAGCTGGGATTGACGGAAGGCGTTCCACGGGAGTTTTTGGTGCTCCAAGCGTGATGTTTGAGCCGGGCCCTACGACAGCCGATCACATAATCCCAGCCGGGAGATTCCTAAGCAAAGAATGATGAAAATGCTTCGGCCCTAGGCACTTTGATAGAAAGCATGATCCAAGGTTTGGCGGAATGGGA